GACTCGAAGGCACTTAACAACAACAACTTTTAATTTGTATTTTACAAAGAATGAAACTCAGGCAAGTTGCCCATGGGCAGGGTTTGCATCAAAATGCACAAAAATTCAGTGGCTTTAATTCCTACTGCGGCAGACATGGCTGAGACCACTGGCTTCCGGCCTGGAGAGGTGTGAATGACCAAATGTATTGGGTAAGTGAAGAGAAGAATCTTGCAGGAAAGGGGCTTTGAGTTCGGAGAAAGGGAGTCTGGAGCTGACAAGGCCCCAAGCAATGAGAAGTAACATTGGTGGTCATGTGCCAGTTTCGACTCATAGTGATCTTGGATAGGGTTTCTGAGTCTGTAAATCTTCATGGGAACAGAAAGCTTCATCTTTCTCCCAAGGAGCGACTGGATGATTCAAACTGCTGACCTTGAGTTTAGCATCCCAACTTATAACCCATTACACTACCAGGGCTCTTTCCATAAGAAGTATATTGGCCAACAATTTTGTCTCCCTGATTGCTCCACTTAACTGCATTCATCTTTGCCCCATTTTTAGATAGCTCCTACTGGCTGCCTCTTCCACCACAGATGGGACATCACACCTTCTCATGAGCATATCATGACCTCGTAGGAAGCACGGTGGCCACCCCCTTCTCTGCCTCAGCCCTCTCATCTGCCTCCTGAGTGACCTCTCCAGCTTAAAACCCTTTCCTTGCAGAAAGGAATAGCTTCCTGGCTTCCTGCCCAAACGAAAATAGTCTGCACTCTGTTTATCTGTTCTATGCGCAGGCAGGACTGGGAACGTCACAGTAAAGCTTCAATTCTCTTGAGTTTGAATGAATCAATGCTCAGCCTAGTGATCAGCAAATGACAAATATATATATATATATATTTAAATAAGTTGAAATAAGGAGAATGTGCAGATTAAACACTCTGGGTACATTTGTGGAAAAATTGCATTGTCGTTTAGTTCCATTTTTCCATGAACTATCTGAAGGCCCCTTTTACAAATGTTTAAAAAAAGAATGAGACAGATTTCCTATGTGTCTAAGTATAGAGGTACAAAATGCTATAGGTTTTTCAGTCTTCAGAAAATTTCTGTGCTTGTGCTACTATTAAATCCAGGAGGAAAACAGGATGATGATTCAGATGGTAACTTAGCACAGGGATTTCAGCTTATCCACAGACTCTAAAAACCCAGGTTTCCTTCTGTTATGGATTGAATTGTTTCTCCCAAAAAGATGCATCAACTTGGCTACACCATGATTCTCAGTATAATGTAAGTTTCCTACATGTTATAAATCCTAACCTCTGATATTAGTGAGGCAGAATACAATCTACAGATTAGGTTGTATCTTTAGTCAATTTCTTTAAACAAGTGAGCAGATATCAGAAGGACCTCTTTACCACTGAAAAAAGAAAAGCCAGGAGTGGAGCATACTTTTGGGATCTAGGGTCTCTATGTTGAAAACCTCCTTGACCCACGGAAGACTGATAGCAAGACACATGGAGATTCCAGAGGAACACCAAACCTACAGATGTTGAAAGGAGGCAAGAACCTATTCTAGAGTCAACAGAAAGAGAACACCCCTAGAGCAGGCACCCTGAATTCGGACTCCCAGCCTCCTCAACTATGGGAGAATACATTTCTGTTTGTTAAAGCCATCCACTCATAGTATTTCTGTGCAAGCGGCACTTCTGATTTACAAGGACGAGCTGAAAGTGGCCACTCATACCCTATCAACTAGCCACTAAGGAAGGTTTTTTACATTACCTCCACGATGGGATATTTTTTAACCCAAGTGCTGTTTGCCGGGTCTGGAATGTCGCTGCTACACCACTGAGGTCTGAGGACTGAAAGGAGAACAAATATCCTAAAGATAAAAACAAACAAACAATGATGTCCAGTTAAATGTGCACACAGTGACATGGAAACACAGGTTCTTAGTGCAGTGACTTCTATGTAGGGTGTGCTTTTCTCTGAAAATGAGTAAGCTATGAACACTAAAGGAGGAAGATGATGTATTATCCAAGGCTAGAGTGGCTTCCTGTGAATTGTCACTTCAGCCACTTGGGATTTGCTAAATAAACTAGGGAACTTTCACTTCATGTGTTTAGTGTTTAGCTACCTGTCACTATCCAACCATCCCTTCACTCATTCAGCAACATTGATTGAACCCTAATAATACATAACCAGCACAGTACCACATGCTAGAATAGCAATGAAGACATGGTCTCTACTCTTAGGAAGCGTACTACTTAGTTACTTAATGTTTACCAATAGTTTATAATGACAGGGAAATTATGATGATGAAAGCAAAAAACAGAAACAAACAAACACAAATACCATTTTCTGCAAATAGCTTGAATATAACTATGTAAAAAAAAAAAAAAAAAAAAAAACCATATAAGAGGGAAAGAAATCTGAGCTGTATTTAATGATGGGAGGAATTAAGTGTCTTTCTTTTTCCCCCCTATATCTCTGAGTTTAAAAAATATTTTAAACTGAGTATGCAGTACTTTTATAAGGTAGAAGGAAAATATCCTATAAATGTTTTTTACTTAAATATTTTGAATAACTTTAAAAAATTCAACACTAATATGGGATATATTTTTCCGAAAGGACACTGTTGTTGTTAAGTGCTGTCCAGTTGGTTCCAACTCACAGTGAACCTGTATTGGGTTTCCAAGGAGAAGCTGGTGAGTTTGAACTGCTGATCATGTGGCTCAAAGTCCAGTTCTGATCCTACAGTACCACACCAGGAATCCTAAAGACACTAGTCTTGGCTTTAATAAGCTTTGATGTTTAATGAGAATGCTAAGCTTCTGGAATACATGTAAGATTTTTGAAGCCAGAAACATAGCCATGTGACTAATGTCTCTCCCAACAAATGTGAGCAAAGGTGCCTATGACCTAATATATGTCTTGCAGATGAGGACAATGCCACTTTATTGGTGGACTAATAACATGAAAGAACACTGAATTTCTAAATGACTGTGTGATCAGAGCTGCCTGACAACCTCATGACTTACTTCATGACTATTATATGACAGAGAATTAAACTTCTGTTTTGTTTAGGCCACTGTATTTTGGAATCTTTTTGTTACAGCAGCTTGGCCTTCCTACTAACGGATACTCACTCATACCCAGAAGAGGGTGCATGAGATCCTAGTTGGCTGTTTATCAGTTGTTAAGTGCTGTCGAGTCAGTTCCAATTCATAATGATCCTGTACAGGGTTTCCAAGGAGTAACTGGTGAGTTTGAACTACCGACCTCATGGTTCAAGCTGACCTTGTGGTCCAGCACTTATCCTACTGTGCTACAGCAGGACTCCTTTAGGATAATTGTTGTTATTAAGTGCTGTCAAGTCAAGTCAGTTACAACTCGTAGCAACCCTGTATAAGGTTTCTGAGGAGCAGCTGGTGAACTTGAACTACCGACCTTGCAATTCAATCCAACCTTGCAGTCCAGCGCATTAACCCGCAGAACCACCACTTAGGGACCCACGCTGGACTCCTGGTGTGGCATTGTAGGATAAGTACTGGACTGCTAACTTCAAGCTTGGTGGTTCAAACCCACCAGCTGCTTCTTGGAAACCCTATACAGGGTCACTATAAGTCGGACTGACTCAGTGGCACTTAACAACAACAATAACAAGGATCCATGCTTGGGACAGAGAGAGCTAATTGCCACCCATTACCCATTTTCCCGTCTTCCTTAGGTAGAGTCCTGAGTTTGGGATAATAAGGAGCCCAATTAAAAGAACATACTTTAAGCTTCACTTGCTACACCAAATGCTGGCCAACAATATGAACTGAAAGTGTCCTGAATGACTTCTGGAAAGTTCCTTAAGAGGGACGTGTGGGCGCCTTCCTCACATCTTTCTGTAATTGTAGGTCCTGCAGTCAGCCATTGGAGCATGAAGTGAACTTGAGGATGGAAGCCAATGTCAGGAACGTGGAGCAGAAAGTTAGATGGAGCCCAGGTTCCTGATGACTATGGATCCACCACACCAGCCCTCTGACAAAGGTTACTTCCTTCTCCTGTCAATCAGAAACTGCTGGCTACTTTACATCAGATTATTTTGGCTTTTATGTTATATACAACCAGTCCATGCTCATTAACATATCCTGAATGTGCACATGTGTATATATCTATACACATTATTTTTTTTTTAATGTGAGCACATAGTGTTTTGCAACCTGCTTTTCTTATATAAAATATAGCAAATATCCATTTCATTTTCTTCTACATCATCTTCAGTAAAGACATATATTGTTATCCAGTGATGCATATTGTGACTAATAAAATTAATTAGAGTCCTGGTGTGGCGCTGTGGGTTAATGCGCCAGACTGAAAAGCCGTTTGAACTGTAAGGTCACCATCAGCTCCTTGGAAACCCTATACAGCGTCGCTATGGGTCGGAACTGACTCCACAGCACTAAACAACAACAACAACAACAATTGGTCATTTATGTTTCAATTTTTTTTTTTTTTTTACTTTTATGCATGACATTTCAGTGGGTGTATTAGACACTAAATAGCTCCATTTAACATATCTGTGATATGTTTAGAACAAATTCCTCCTGAGAAATTGTTAGATTGTAACATTTTTAAATCATTTGTTGCCCAGGGAGGGTGAGTAAATTCAGTTTCTACCAAAAATATATGTGTTTATTTCTCTGACCCTTAGCAACAACAGCTATTATTTAAAAGCATATAGTTACCAAATTGGCAGGTGTAACCAACTCACTTTTGCCGGATGCAACGTATTGAGAAAATGGCCACCATGATGACAGCGATACAAATGCTTGATGCCACAAATGTATTCCAGTTGGTTTTACCTAAAAAGTTAGCAAATCCTGTGACTGAGATCTTGTCAATGAGCAATTCAAAGTCCTATTGTGTGAATCCCCTGCCCTCTACTCTGAACGCCTGAGTTGCTGGGCTCAGGAACAAGGCCTATTAGTTTATGTTCATTCAGTTGATCCAATGGGTGATACTACGATGGCTCTCAGGGAGGAGGGGCAGAAGGAAATGAGATATGACATACAAAGCACTAGTTGTGAATTGAAAGCTCAGAGTTCTAGTCTTGTTTCTGCCACTAACAGATGTGTATAACCTTTGGACCTTAGTTTCATGAGCTGTAAAATGTGAATGATGATGTCTTCCATGCAGGGAGTTATAAGGATTAAAGATGGTGTGCTTAAAGCACTTGGCAGAGTATATGAATAGACTCAAGAAATGATGACTTCATTTTACCAAACCATTGAATAGGTCTTCTATTTAAGGTCTTAGAAATTGTTTCTTTTCCTTCCTATGATGAGAACTACAACATTTCATCACTTGTCTGAGTCGTTCATTAATTCAGCCAACATTTATTGATTTACTTACCCACTCCCATCAGGTGCTGGGACATAAAGCTGACTAGGACTAAGAAGTGATAAAAATAGTATGGGAAACAAGTGTGTAAATGTGTAAACCATAATGCCATGGGATACATTACAAATGGGCATGGGCAAGGCAATGCTGCAGGGCACAGCATGGGAAACAATCTCCTGAGTGGCTCAAGAAAGTTTCACAAAAGGCACAATGTCCACAGTTTAGAGTTGAAGCATAGACAGGAGTCAGCTAAGTGGGCAAGTTCAAGAAGAGCAGACTAGAAAAAGGAAACTGCAAAAGCATGGAAGGAGCACAGCTGGAAACTGCAGATGCCTGCTATCACTTTAGCATACAGAATGATGGGGCCTGTGGCAGGGATAAAGGCAGATCTCACAGAGCCTGCTAACTAGGGAGTTTGAATGGTAGCCTGAAGGCCCTTGAGGCTTGGTGGGTTACAAGAGGTAGACTATCAGGGTTGGGTATTTAATAGAAGGATTCTTATGGTTAAATGGAAACGCTGGGAGAAAGGGTGAAGTGTGTGTGTGTGTGTGTGGTAGTGGGGTGGGATGAGGGAGTGGGGGAAGGTAGGATTTTATGAGAGGGGCTGAACTGGGTAGTTAATGAAAGCACCTTGTTACAACCCTACACAGTTGGCAGAATGTGACATCTCTTTAGCATCTGCCTTCCTTCCTGGGCAGATGGGACTTGCATAAAGATGCTGAGTCCTTTATCTTAATTGCTCTCAAGTTAACCTTCACATGAGTGACTCCTGGGGAGCCGTCCCTAGCAAAAAGCAAAGTCCTGAGTGATTAATTTAATGCACCATGTCACAAAGCAAGAATGCCTATTTTATGTTTGGAGCAGATACAAGCAAGCTTTTCCAAAGAGAACCTTAACCGGAGGAGGAAAGCCCATGGCAGCTGGCTCACTTAGTCATGTACTCAAAGTTAATTTAACTTACATAACTCAAATCATCATTCTAGATTCATCATTCTACCACTTATTACCTTTATAACCTTGGGTAATCTTCCTGTACTTTGGTTCCCTCACTTGTAAAAAGGCATAATTATCACCCTCATTTTTTACTTAACTCATACTGAGTACCTGTGGAGTAGAATGATCAAAGGTGTGCTGAGCATTTAACACAATGGCTGGCATACCACCACCCAATATACAATTACTGCTGTTGCTACCCTCAGTGTTACTCTCATCTTTCACTGAATAGATATTTTATGAGCATGTGTTGGGACCTTTTCTAGACCTCAGGGATAAAGATAAACAGATATCAGTCCTTGCCCTAATGGATTCAGAGGTAAGAGTGGGGGTCAAGTGCGTAATAAGTGCTGCAGATGATTATGAAGGAAACATGAAAGTGCCTTTGGGAAGGCTTCCTGAGGCAGAAATACTTCTGCTGAGTTTTTAAAACTATGTAGCCACTGTCTCCAAGCAGACAGTTAACAGTTTGAGCACTCCAGGGAGGGAAAACAGTGAGTGCAGTCATGTAACAGCAAGAAAGTAATTAGTGAATTAAAGAAAGTCTGGTCAGATGTAGTGGGTGTGCACAGCAAGAATCCAGGATGGGCTTGCTGTCTATAAAGTGGTCTTTTACCTGACAGATAAAATTCCCTCTCGTTTCCTCGGGGGCTCTCACCAGCAGCTGTGAGACCTGTCATCCATAGGACGTATACCACTCTGGGCCGCAAGCTGTCTATTGCGTATGAGTTCAGCGATGCCCTATAGGGAATTTCTGAAACAGGGTTAAAGATGAAAGAAAAAAGGCACATGATAAAGGAAATGTTTGAATGTGAACTTTTACTCATTTAATTTTTTTTAAAGCTTCATTTAATCTAGAAGAAAACAACAAAACCACACTGCTGTTCTAAAATAGTCCTCATTCTTTTTTTTTAAATAATGTTTTATTGTGAATTATGTGATAGTTTACATAGAAGTACATTAGTATGCATTCATCCTATTGTATATCGTTTCATTGCCGTGGTTACAATCCCCTCCATGCATCATAAACCAACCAAAGGGTATACCCTGCACAGAGCCGCTCTCCCTCTCTGGGTCTAAAGTCCCCAGCTGCTCCATTTCTACACATCATCATCTCTGCCTCCATCTCTGGTGTCACTGCTTCTCTGGGTAGGGTCCCGCTCTCTGCTCTTCTCCCTTGAAGGTCCCAGGGACCTCCGCTCCTAGACTATAGAGTCAATCACTCCCCTCCTTTGCTACAAAACATCTACCTTTCCATTCCCAACCCTCACAATCAGTCCTGATAACAATTATTCACAAGAGACCTATCTGCATCTCCTTTCACCAGCCCCGCCCAGACAGATTGGATACTACTCAGTGAAGATTCTACCTACCTCCACGCCCTCTGGATCTAGGCTCCCTCTTGAAAGCTTGTAAGCCAGTCACTTCTTGCCTTTGTAGCCCCCTCATTTTGGGTAGCCAATGTCCAAGTTGCCCATCCCTGTGTACTCTGTGCATAGAGGGGGTGGAATGATCCTCACTGTAAAGATTTGTTCCCTCTTTTGAGCTACTGCATCCATAGATGTAGGTCAAGTTAATCAAATTGTATCAGATTATTCTTTTTCCTCCTTCTAGTTGAATTCCGATCATCCAGTCATTGAAGCCAGGTCAAGTGGGTATTATCTGTAAGTGTGGGTGTTCCTGTGCATATGCCCTCTCTTCTTATCAGCTGGACACTTCACTCTCCACTCTAGTCCTCTGTGACTATGTCACTGACTCTGGGCCCAAGAGTCCCCATATCTTGCCACACTGCTGGCCGATTACATCTCTACCAGCATTCACAGGAGTCTATTGAACGTTGTAGGTCTTAGCTCCCAGCATCATTGCTGTTTTTCCCTCACTTCCCCTTATTGGTGACAAACGTGACCACCAATCAGAGCATATATTCTCATTGTGTCTTAGTCTTGGAAGGGGGTTTGCCCTGAGGGGACCCGACCACTTGCCTTGATGTCTCTAGGCGAGTAACTTGCTTGTTCTTGTAGTAATCAGTCGGACTGATGTAATTGTTTTGTATTTTTTTTGTCAGTCTTTCTTTCAAAGAGTATCTTCTGTTCTTCTAGCCACTCCAGGCTGATCTGCATGGCCTTTCAAGTGGAAATTTACCACCTCAGAAGATTCTGGATGCGGTTCAGGATTCCACCTATAGTCTTATGCAATGCAGAGGATCCACAGGAAGCCTCCTTCACTGGGCATGTTGTAGCCCCATTTTAGGTATTCCAATCAGTTATAGGCAGAAGACAGACTTATAAGCTTTCTATGGTGATATTTCTGGCTATTCCTTTCTCTCCCCCTCAAGTGTCTATTTTATAATAGTATGCCAGGGAAATCAAGATTCAAAA